ACAGTTTATCCACGAAGAGGTTGGCAGAGGCTATGGAATTTAAAAGACAGGTCAGTAATCCCATTTCGAATAAAATTTTTACTCTTCACCCATTCGTTCAAATTTTTATCGTTGTTTATCTTTATGGTTAAAAAAACATGATCTCTAATAGATGAAGGGCAACACACAATTTTAAACGCACTTTTACTAACGAATGAGTTTCAATTTTATTAAAAATAGCGCTATCTAGGACTCTCTTGTGAAATAGATTGTAGCGTGTTTTACGTACACTTTCTCAAAGCAAAAAGTTACTTATATATGCCATAGATGGCGTAAAAAACATGTGAATAATGGGTTTTGTTAATCTGTTTTCATATTCCTACATTTTTACAACAGTGAAAGACCAATAAATAAATAAATGCGAGCTAGATAAAGCATCAATTTTGTATTGGAATTAATTGTTAACTATTTTAACTGTGCATTTTCATAATGCTTTCAAAGTTCGCCGATAGATGTCAGGTTTCTATTTTTTTATTTGGCTGTCTTAAATATAAACAGTGAAACTATGACAATATTTATTTTTATATATTTTATTTTTAATATTATTGGTACAGACATATATATTTATAATATTCTTGGTACGAAGCGATTAAGGGTTCATTCATAGTCAGCATATTTTATGCTTACGGCGACTTAAATTTCATCTCCGTTAAAAATATATTGCCACTTAAAAAAACAAGAATTGAAATGATTCACATCAAATTTTATTAAGTTTAAAAGTCATTGACATGTCGAAGACCTTATCCAACTACGATCAGGCGGTAAAAACGTATTATCGTGAGTTGGTATTACAATATTTTTAATTTAAAATAAAAAATTGAGGTACCTTGTTAGTTTGTTAGGTTGCGCCAGAATTGTTATTGTTTTTTTTTTATATCATTTCAAATATAAATTTCATATCATCATCATCATATCAATTAAATATAAATTTAGCTAGCGGTATACATATGTGAGCCACCAATGATTTTAAGGTTCATAGAGCACGCGCTATCACTTTGTTATAGTAAGCTTTGTTACATCGTGATGTTATCGCAGAGCAAACGGGCACTCGGATCAACTGATAGTAAGTAACTCCTATTGACACCTGAAACTCACCAAGAATTAGTGGGGGTGGGATTGGACCTCCAGTAACCTCAATCACTCAGTAAAACGCAAGAAAAGAAATGCTTAACACTAGACATGGGAATTATTGCTACTTTTAAATCATATTCATCTGTTAAAATGATTGATTTAGTTACAGCGATCTCACATGTGATTGTGATTTTGTCATAGACAAAGATAAATACCATTATTTAAAATCAATCAAAATTATTTTTATCAAAGATTACCGTTTTTTAGATTTAGTCTTGTGCTAGCGTAATAATAATAATAAGACGCAGTGGTTCTGTAAATCAGTCACAGGTATAATTATATGATTTTTCACATGTGATTGTGATTTATTCCATCCCAACTTAACACCGGTTTCCTAAGAGGCTGTAGTATCACTCCGGTCAGTGGCGAAACAACGCCCTCCCACGTTGTGTACTATAACATAATTATAGTATATGAATGTACTTTATTTAATCACACAAAAACTTTTCAAATGACTAACGTTAAACTGTGCATAGAAGCATAAATTAATAGGCAACATGTAATAATGCCTGCACTAGCAATGCGTGTTATTATCAAAGTTTGTATTATTTACCGAAGGATCCAGAACTATGCATAATTAAATAACTTCACAACTGATATGAGTAACGTAAATATACACAAGTCAGACTTGGAGCGCTCTTTAGGAACTATTATTAATATGGTTAAAGCTCTGACGCTGGATCTAAGCCTTTAAGGTTACTATAATATTTCGTACTAACTTTTGAAAGAATTGATTGTTATCGGTCGTTATAACGTGTGGTGACGGATTAAGAATACGGAGTGTCACCATCCCTATTCATCCCGTGGGTCTCGTAAGAGCCGACTAAGGGAGCCAACTACGCAGGACTAGCACTGCAAAGATAAGGATAGCTTGACACAAACTATACCAACCAGTCAAGTCAGCGTGGTATAGTAGGCCAAAACCTCTTTTCTAAGAAGAGGCCTATGTCCAGCAGTGGACTATTCAAGGCCGTTGATGTAATATGACTAGCTTTAGTATAGGTATGTCGGTTATCGCGGGAAAAATAGCTTATGTATTTTGCATATAATGTAAATGTTTTAAAATCGTTTTAGTGGTTTATGCTTGAAGGCATAACAGACAGACACACAAACAAACTCAATTTCACATTTATTTTATAAGTATGGATAGTACGTTGAAGAAAAAGTTTATTAATTTAAAAGTCCATTTTTGTTTGTATAAATAAAAGAATAAATGCTCCTTTGGCAAGTCCAGCTCCAGTTTAAATGTTTAACTTTAAAAATAAGTATTGGAACCATCAATGCAGCTACTTGGCAAAAAAAATATGATATCAGGCAGTGTAAATAAAAGTGACCCTTTCTTCATCTTAAAGGTTTTTAAGTCTTCAACTTAAAGATCAGTGACATGAGGTTCATGTCACTTATCTTTAAGCTGAAGACGTGTTTAGGTAGTTTGATCTTTCAAGTAATTTAATAACAGGTTATACTTTAGATAATGTACACAAAAAAACAACCTTCAATAGCCACCCAAATTAAAGAGCAGAAAAGCCTTCTAATTTTAATTCAATATATTAATCTTTCGGTTTAATCATCAGCACATTTGCATGTCGACGACCGGATGGCGTAGTGGTTTGTGTAACGGACTGCTATTCCAAAGGTCGCGGGTTCGATTCCCGCTCAAGTCAAACATTTGTGTGCATGAACATTTGATGTTTGATTTGGTCTGGGTGTTTCTATGTATAATATGTATGTATTTACAAAAAAAATGTATTTATATCAGTTGTCTAGTACCCATAGTACAAGCTCTGCTTAGTTTGGGACTAGATGGCGTTGTGTGTATGTGGTAGAATATTATAGAATATTATTACATTTTGTCTTGACATAACAGCTCAAACTCAAAAGGTTTCCTAGTAACCGCTGAGTTAGTTACATTATTTACTAATCATGTAGTATTTCCAGCACACCAAATGGTGCTTTTAAAGAACAAACACTCTACAATAAATTAGGTAAGTCTACGCCCACTGCTGGACATAGGCCTTCCCCAAGACTCTATACAACAACCGATCTTGTGCTGCCGGCATCCAACGGCTTCCCACGCCCTTCAACTTATTGTTAACAAAAGAAATACTTAAACTGTAGGAGTGTCTATAATAGTTGATGAGTTCTCTCAACCTTTCTGGATTTCATTATCAAATCAAAATCTACCGTTTCAAACATAAAATAATATGCCAAATTATCCACCCCTTTTTAAGTCATCAATAAAAAAAACTGAAGAACTTTTTAAAATGGAAGAAAAACCTATACTGACAGAAGAACCAGTTTAAAATCAACATTTTCTATTGTTTTCAGATGGTTTAAAACAGTTTGAAAATAGTACTTCTGTTATGGCACGTCTCATAATAAAATGGTTTGTCTGTTCATGACCTCGTTTAAGTGACACCCTAGGGCGCTCTATGACCAACTACTTTATAAATGTATTTGGTCACGATCGCAGTTAATGCCAGCTTTGCCACATTAAAGTTTTAGGTATACGATCGTCCCTTCTCGTACAGTAAAACAATTTCAATTGTAGAATTATACATTACATGGATGTTGAAAATAACAAATGGCTGCGCTAATTGTTTTAATGACTGTAAGTAGAAGTGTTAGGGGGTCCGTAGCTGTAGAGGGAACCGGTCGTGACGATGAGCCGGTTTAAGTCACCGTCAACTTAGAGTTCATTCAACATGAGTGAGTCCGAACTAGTATTGATCATGATTTATTTATTGAAGTAGAAGTGTATTGGTTTTCTTTTATGACTGCACGGATGGCGTGGTGGTTTAAGCGGTCACTACTGCGACTAGTATTGTGGGTTAGATCCCCAAATGGGACAACACTTTGTGTGAATCACAAATAAAAAAGGGGAAAACAAGGAGATATGTCGCCTGATGGTAAATGCAACTCTGCAACTCAAGAGTCATAAATACGTTGCCGACCTTTCACTCGGTTCCCCCAGAATTAGGGGGAGAGTTTGGGCTTCAGTAGCTTTACTCACTCAGTGAAAAGCAACAAATTAACTGGATAACAAACGTTTTCTGTGATGCCGTGGTATTGCAATTAACGTGAAACAAAATTATTTATTTAAATTTAATTGCTTTATTAAGTATAATGAATACAAATAAAGGAAAGCCTTGACAGACAGAACTTAAAGAACAGAAGAAATACATTGTATCATTATAACAGTTAAATACAATTTATTCATAGATATATCTGAAAATATACAATGACCAGTCGCAAATATAAACGAACCAAATGACTTTCCATATTTGGCAACTTCTGGAAATAATTAATTAAGAGATACATCAGTATATATACTATCAGTACAGTACAGTATCAGTATATATACTGTACTGTACGTGTGTATATATACAGTCATATTTACTGTCTACTGTAGAACAATGTTACTTGATTGCAAATTCATATAAATAAAATTAAAATAATTATCCCAAAAAGGACATAAAAATTAGACACAAGAGAAGAATAAGAAAATCACATTAACAGCTTTTTATAGTCCACTGCTGGACATAGGCCTCTTCTTAGAAAGAAGGTTTTGGCCTACTACACCACGCTGTCCAGACGGGTTGGTATAGGGTTTGTGTCCTTTTCTCTTACAGTGCTGTTGTTGTAATTAGTTTGCTCTCTTAGTCGGCTCTAACGATACCCACGGGATGAATAGGGGCGGTGACATACCGTACTCTTAACCCGTCACCACACGGATAAATATGTAGTTTGGACTAGACTAATCTATAAAAATTAGAAAATAATTTTATTTAATTCTTGGTCCTGGTCTACTAAAAATTTTGGTCACCATCTTAAAAGTCATGTTCAATTCTTGCTTCTAACCCAATGTCGGGTTTGTCATGTCCAAAGGTCTTCTGTACATGACCTCCAGCACTTAATCTTGTGTTTTTATCTAGTTTCCACTTTCCTTCACCGGTTACAGTTAACTGAAAAAATACGTAATGTTTTCTTAGATGGCAATTGGCAATTTTTTCTACACACATCTAGCAAGTGCATTATAGAATCGTATTTTTGTATTATGTTGTAGTGGGTGCTTAAAATAGGTCAAGCAGTTTGCTTGATTTTAATTAAAATGCGCATTTTTTTTTTAAGTGACGCATTCACCTATTCTGCTAACTACACCTGTCTGGGTGTAATACATGTAACATTACTCAAGAACCAGTGACATTGGTATATAAATACACGATTCTTAATAAATGAGAAGTCGTAGTAAAAGACAAGCCATTTTGCAACTTGTTAAAAGGTTTTCTGTATCTACTTTCGCAATAAATACTTGCTTAGATCGTGGCAGAAGACTTGCTTAGATGTCTAAAATCATAAAAAAAGGTCTTAAAGCAAACTTCGCTTTATAAATTTTGAATCTCTTACTAACTAAACAATTAATTTTTTTTAACTATACACTACATACAGTCCAGTTTTTTTAAACTTAAACTAGTCTGGAACTGGACTGAATTGTTAATAACAGTTCAAACGAAATCCAAACAAGTTTAAACAAGATTTTTATAAAACTAAAAATATTTTTTAAATATACTTACACCACTTCGACCTCCAATTTCTTTATTTATGTCAGCACTCACTTTTGCGTTATCATTGGACCAGTCCAACTTGCCACCCATCAAAGATTTACCCCCGTTGGGCCCAAGTACTCTTGAGCCGTAGGCCTGACCTTCTAAATGGCCTCGCTGGTCCTTGAAGATATCTTGTTTGTATCCACCTTTACCCTGTTAAATTGTAGCATAGATTTAAGGTTTTACTATATTATTTAGGGTACGGTATTTAGGGTACTTGTATTGAGGGATGGCGCGTATGAGAGCCATGCGTCTGTGTGTACAGGCCAGCTGTACCAGAATACCGAAGCCTCATAGAATACCAACTTAACCAACTCTTTGGTTGGATTTCTCCAATTGAATGAAGATACCGGCAGACCAACCTTTATATCGCTTTTTAAGTGTTCATCTGGAGGTGAACACATGAAAAGCAATTTAAAACGTAAATAAGTTTTGGCCCACTATGGCACGGTGGTCAGACGGGTTGGTGTAGGGTTTGTGTCAAGTTTTCCTTCTCTTTGCAGTGCTGTTGTCCTTCGTTACTTACTTCCTTAGTCGGCTCTTACGACACCCACGGGATGAATAGGGATGGTGACACTGCGTATCCTTAATCTGTCACCAGGCGGAGTAATAATACGCAGTAATACATACATCGACATGTAAAGATGTTTAATAATTGCATATTTGTTTATAATTAAATTATATATTACGTTTCAAGGCTATCTTTCCATGTAAATAAATACAGAAAATTGCCTGATACTTACAAATAATGAGTCATCTGTTTGTCCAAGAGTCCCGAAGACCTTGCCTTTGCCTGCTTTGGACTCCCAAGTTAAATCTCTCTGATGACGAGCGATTTTTGAGTATTTGTAGTACTCAGGGTACCTACAATAATAATTGTGTTAATGTAGTCCAAATTGATTGCAATCTATTTACTAAATCGTTTATGCTGTAGGTATTAAACGGAAATTACACATTACAGAAATTTCTTATAGAAAGTAATTATTTTCAGGCTAAGCTTAAGGTTACTGTCCATCAAAATGTATTATTATTACACGCTTTATATCAGCTTCACTAGTATGTTTGTATGTTTGTTTGTATGTTTGTTGGTGACCGACTCCTTTGGGCGTAATTTTGACTGACTTTAAACGGTCAGAATTCATTCAAACTTTGTAGATATATCGAGGACCGATGCCAATACACGTTTTTTTAGTTTGGTTTTCTATAAAAAACGTGTTTTTTAGTTTTTTTTAACTATTATTTTTTATCTTGTTATTTAGAACGTACTTATTTTGAAATCACTCAGAACTTAATAAGTTTATAGAGACTAGTCTAGTCCAAACTTTTTATTTGTGATGTATTCTAGCAAAAGAGGTAAGTATTATCGTAAGTATAGTATTATTATATATTAATTTATATTATTATTATTTTTTAACAAAACAAAAGTAGAAGTAAAGTAACTAGTAAAGATTTTGTAGTTGATTAACATGTTATACAAATATCAATAATGTACCTTTCTGCGTAATCTGGTGGCTGGGAGACTTGTGCGTAGGCACAGGCCAAAACGGCAGCAAAAACTAAAACGACGGTGTGCATTTTGAACTGAAACCAAAAATTAAATTAGATACATTTATTTACATCCTTCACAAAGAAATAGTTTCCACTATACGGGTACAGCCTATATTTACATCAAAACTAGAATTAAGAAATGAGAGTGTTCTTTTCTTCTTAATTCTTGTGTTTGTTAAAAAAATGCTGTATATCAATAAAAACTTAAGGAAATTTAAATTCTAAAGATGTCATGTGTGTTTTCTTTTGTTTTTCATATGACTTTAAAATGTGTATCGTTATTGTTAAATTACGAATAGTAAGTGATGACATAGAAACTTGACTTGGAAAGATCATAAGTAAGTATATCAATACGAAAAAGAATGGGTATATAATTAATTTTTTAAAAATGTTACCGACTTCATTGGGCGTAGATCATAATAAATTGTAATAAACTTTATTCTTCATTACTTAAATTTTAAATTTGGAAAAAAGGGATAGTACCTATACCCGCACAAATGTAAAAATAAATTTTCCAAATCGGATCATGAATAACCGAGTTCTGAGGTAACAAACATAAAAAATACAACCTGTAACTTTATTTGAGAACCTAATCCTTTTTTTTAATTTATTAAAACAGTATTTTTAATAAGGAAATAATCCGCTAATAATCTTCACAAAAAAATCAAGCTAATGAAATAAATATACATACACCTATAGAAATAATAAGATGAAGATGACTCACCTAGGCCGATATTACTTTGGTCCCGAGTAACTTTAAACTGTGCGTCGGAAAGATTCAGATGCCCCATTTATACGACACATCTGCATCGAGGTAAATTCCCTAGCAACTAAGAAAAGGGGATTCATTTTTCTTGTGATTCACTTACATCAGCGAAGGAGGAAAAAGTATTATAAAAATATGCAAGGAACCTGACCCACAAGGTTAAAACAGATTAGAAGTTGTTTTTTTTTAATTGCGTTATTAAAAAGCATTATGCTTCGACAGTTAATTTCATAAGGTTTAGTGCAATTTGACCATTGTTGAATTATACGGTTTATGTAAAAATAATTATATTAAATAACAATAATAATTATATTTAATAATATTTATTTATTTGACCGATATTATTTCACAGTGTAGGACATTTTTATTTAAAATAGATCTTAAACAGTATTTTCGTTACGTAACACCGGTGTAAAACTAAGGTGAAACTATTTTATTTTTACATATTTCTTTTACACATAAAGGTATATAATGAAATTTATATTAAAACCTTTAATCTCTGACTGCCTTTACTCGGGTCAACCTGTATTTCAGGCAATCGCTTGAAGCTCGTGGCTAAGTGGTAACCGGGTAGGTAACCATATTGTAAAGTTAAGCAATCCTAACCAGGTCAGTCAATAGATGGGTCATCATCATCATCGTCAGCCTATCGCAGTCCACTGCTGGACATAGGCCTCTCAATTTGGATTTTGGGCTTCTCGCATCCAGCGGTCGCGGTCTCCACTCAAGAACTCGTTTTCCCCAACGATTGTCGTTTCTGCGGCTAATATGGTTAGCATACTGCCACTTCAGCTTGCTGATCCGGTAGGCTATGTCGGTGACCTTGGTTCTCTGCCGGATCACCTCAATCCTGATGCGATCCCTTAAAGAAACACCGAGCATAGCCCTTTCAATAGCACGCTGAGCGACTTTGAACTTGTGGACCAGCCGTACCGTAAGTGTTGATGTTTCGGCGACGTGTATCATGACGGGTAGGACGCACTCATTAAAGACTTTCGTCTTAAGACACTGTGGGATCGACGATAAGAAGACTCGACGTAGCTTCGTATGATGATGATGAACCAGGTCAGTCAATGGATGGGTGACTATTCTTAAAAGATTAAGACCCTTCCGTGAGTCGGAGAACGCCCTAACGCCTAAGAATGGTCCATGACATAGCATTATTAGTTGTGTAACTGATATCTAAAAAAGGATTCATAATTTGTTGTAATTATAATTTCTCTATAATCCTGCATAATAATTTATTAGTTGTAGCAACATATTATAGGAACATAAGGTACTTTAAAGAAACACTGAAAACTTGTCTAACATTTAGTTTAAAGAAGACCTTTTTATCAGTAGTAACAGCTTCATGCAAAGGTGCATTTCGTAACATTACATAATATCAGCTGTTTCAATAAGAATAATAATATTTTCGGACATCTGACACAACGCCATCTAGTTTCAAAATAACTTTTACTACGAAAGCTTGATTGACTGATAAAATATTCATAAAGGTACTTTTTTTGTAAATATATATATTATATTTAGAGAAAAACCAAACTCCGAAGCAAATGTAAAGCAAAGCAATGTATTGTAAAAGTATGTTTATCTCTGTTACAAGCTCTGATTAGTATATAATTATGTATAAAGCGCTGTATCGTATCAATTAATATATTTATTAATCACAAAAAAAACCGTAGTTAAGTACTGAACAGGAAAAACAATCTTTATGAACACAATTCAACACTTAGACATCAATAACAAAAATTATTGGGGTCTAAGTATTGAATTTGTGCTGATGATTATAATAAAATTATATTTATAAGTTATCTCCACCAAACGTCTGTCAGCTGTCTGTGAGTAGTTTCATCTTGCTCAAAGAACTAGCACTAAAGAGTTAGGTGCACAGTTTCATTTCTACCAAACCAAATATTTTAGGTCGTTGCCATATCTTTTATTTATATGCCACATTTATACATGCATTAAAAATATAGTAAATAAGAGAAGCGAAATGTTTCTTTATTGGTGCGAAAACTACCTAATATGTTTTGAGTGACGGTTACGGGACGGGTACGGGTGGTAACTATTCTCCTGTCTGTGGTCTAGATATGTACCTATGTGTTCGTGGATGGCGTAGTGGTTTAAGCGGTCACCTCGCCACTTCCTACTGCCCTGAGTGTTGTGGGTTCGATCCACTAATGGGACAGCACTTTGTGTGATCCACAAATGGTTTTTATGCGTCTGGGTGTTCTTTGTGTCCGTTTCATGTGTGTTTGTAAAGTCCCCCGCGACACAAGATTTATTCCTAGCGTGAAAGTTCTCCTTTAAAAAAGAAAATAAATACACTTCAAGAAATAATGACAATAGTAAGTTGACACATGTTATAAACGACCGTCTGGTCAAAAACTTAGCTGAGCCCTTACTTTGGTAACCAGAATGCTGATAAACACCTTTATATCTAAAAACTTCAATATTGTACGTGAACTACACCCAGACTCTTAAGAAATGATCGTGTTCATTACACAAAGTTTTTATTACACTTTGTCCTGTGTATTTGTAACAACATATTTAATAGTAAAGTATTATGTCCTTAGATAGCGTTACGATTGTCAATATTTTTGGCATCGTACATAATATACTTACCTAGTAATAAAAAACATCTTGGAATGTAATAAGTTGTTTATTAGAAAAATAATAAATCGCGACACCTAAAGCTTTTGTTGTTATTCATACCTACATTTAGTGAACAACTATGTGAGCCGTGTACTTCTATTTATTTCAGATTTGTTTAATAATAAATAAAACTAAGAAAAACATGTAAGTAGCACTGTGAGCTGGAGTTATAGTTCATAGCGATGTCTCAAATCGTTAAAGCGGGCAGGCGCGTGTCAGCGCGAGCCATCGCGAGACATCGCTTGACGGAGAGAGACCGTGTGGGTCCTCGATGGCGGGTGTGAGCTTTGTGTATCTCTTTTATAAAGTAAATTAATACTCTATTCTTAGAGCAATAAATATAATTATTGTACTAACAAGTCTTTCTAGTCTATTCCAATTCTTGCCTCGCACATCCTCGTGCATCTAGACCTTTTACACCAAAGATGGGCAGGGCGTGGATTGAAATTGTGTCATACAATTTTCAATCCTCGCTTGGCCCATCCACGCTTCACCTCGCCGGTGTAAAACTGCCCAAGTCCATCTTATGCAATGTACTTGCAGGAAGTATAAATAAATTAATAATTATATATGGATAACGTTCAGGGGATAAAATTGCTGATTGAAAGTGTAACTTATTACAAAAACAATAGTAATTTATTTCATTATTTATTTTAATGCTAGATTTATATACTTCTTAGTATATACATATATAAAAAGAAGAACTGAAATCTTAACACATAAGCAGTCTTTTACTACAGTAACCTTAAAGTCATGTTTAATATCTTTAATACCTAAATCATAAGATCGCAGAGGAATTAATTAATAATTTAATCTGACATCGCAAGACATACATTTTGACGTTTGAAATGCATTGTTTCTTGTGTCTGTCAAATATTTCAATGTCGTTCGAAATACAAAACTTTGGCAAACGATTTCGTTAATCTACAGATCTCAAAATCATATCTACAGAGTTCGAATGTTTAATATATCTAATATTGGTAGTATTTATGTAAAGATAAAGAAACTATTCGATTACTATTTAAGATTTAAAAGGTTTGTAAAACATAGCAAAGCCGTGGCGGTCGTCAACTGTGAAGTCACAATTTGCTTAAAAAAGGGGTAAGTTTGTTTATTTTTTGGCGCAAGCTTCATTTGATAAACTATAATAGTATTCTTATATTAAGTTGAGATTCTTGAAGAACAAACGTGATCTTTTGCGTTAAAACCAATTAATCGGCGCGAGGATTTTCTATGTAGTAACGTCATTTCTATGTAGTTTATTCGTAGTAGGTACTTTAAAAAAAACAGCTGAATTTAATTTTATGTAGATTATGTGAATATCATCTCAGCACCTAAGGGGTCTATGTAATTGTTCATGAATTAATGTTAAAAAGATAATATTAGATTTTCAAGTACAACGAGATTTCAGTAATGAACTGTTAATTACATTAAAAGTCGTGCACAATTTTTGCTTCTAGACCGATATCGGGTTTGTCGTGTCCAAAGGTTTTCTGTAAGTTGCCCCCTGCTTCGAGCCTGGTGTTCTTGTCCAGTTTCCACTTTCCTTCACCGGTAACTGTCAACTAGAAGATAAATTGAAAACAAGTTAAAAAACAGTTATTTGTCTTTAATAATATGTTGTATACAAATTTTGCATTTTTAAATATTATGACTGTCTACTTGAAAGTCTTGCAATCACTGTATTCAGTCAATTCGACAAACAAAATTGTATTGCCCTAAATTGGACTTTCTTATTTTTCGGCTAGTTTTGGATTAACTTGTATTACTAATTTTCAGTTTTGTGTTAAGTAATTATTCTGAGTCGTATTACGTAGATGAAGGAACATATTATTGTAACAAGTAACAATATCTTGGCGAACAGTTTCAAGTCATCGACTTCAAGCCGTTTTTTCTTGCCGTTTTTTTAGCCAATTATCTTGATTTAAAGTCAAACTTACACCGGTATGTCCTCCGATCTCTCGGTTCAAATCAGCAGTAACTTTTGCGTTGTCGTTAGACCAGTCCAAAGTCCCTCCCATTGAGCTGCTGCCACCAGCAGGACCAAGTACTCTGGACCCATAAGCGGAACCTTCCAGTCGCCCACGGTGGTCGTTGAAAATGTCCTGTTTATAGCCCCCTCTACCCTGTAGAAGAAAATGTAGAAAATTTACGACGTGTACATTTCTGTCTGAATGATTTAATATTGCAGATCTAACTGTTGAAGTAAGTTTTTATATTTAAACTAGCTGAACCTAGTCACGCCTTGCTTTTGCATATTATGGTTGCATTATTCTGAAATGAGGAACAAAACCAACTCGAAAAGTAGATAAAAAACCATCTTTGAAGCGTGTTTTATGTCGTGTCAAAATATAAGCTCAATCGGTGAAGGAGTTTTTGAGTTTTTGAAGCGTGAACAAACAAACTTAACATTTTATATATATAGATAATAATATAACCCTATAATCTTAAACACGGCATTCTGATAGACAATACAAGAGGATTATATAAGATATAAGACGGCCGTGTTTCTAGCTGGCAGGCTCTGGCTTGTTCTATGGTAACCAGACTGCTGATAAGCATAGTTATAAATTTCTAAATACATGAATATTGGAAATAAATTACAACAAAATATAGAACAAATGATCATACTCATCACAAAATTATTTGTCCTAGATGGGAATCAAACCCACCAGTCAAAATGTTACAAACATTTTTTAATAACCCCGCGATTTTTTTAAATATTTTTTGAATTTTTATAAAGGGGTTGCTTTAAAATTAAACGTTACATTTTAACATTTATACTCAGAACTACTTGTTTATTGGCTTTGGATTGTGGTCGAAATGGTAGTTAATTTTAACTTATTTAAATGGACACTAGTAAATAGAAATATGTAGAATGCATACTCACAAATAGAGAGCCGTCGGTGCTGCCCAAAGTGCCGAAAACCTTTCCTCTACCCACATTTCCTTCCCAAGTTCGGGAGTTTCCTCCGAGACTGTTACGCAAACTAAAAAAGTTGTCGGGATACCTGCAAATGGTGGTTCATTAGAACAATTGGAATTAATGGTATTTGGATGTTTTAATCTTACTGTCTAATTGGGTTTTATTTTGTTTCTTATTTAATAATTCTCTTATATAAAAAACACAAATAAATATTTCTATTAATATTTATATAAATATTTCTTAATACATACTTATTATATTATACAGAACAGACGATAATCGTCTGTTCTGTATCTGAGTGTTATTTGTCACAGTACATAATTTATTTGTCCAAATGGAAATCGAACCCACGACCTCTGGCTAAGCAGTCAGGACGAATAATCACTGGACAAACAGACCCGTAAATTTATTCTGTATTTCGTAAAAGCTGCTTTACTTTAATGGTTAAGTATTTAAGTTAAAGAGAAAACCAATAAAATTCTTTAATATACTTAATAAGCAATCAAAACGTTAACACAATATATTTTTACCTTTCTGTATTTGATGGTAATCTGTACACCTGCGCGTACGCACACATCAAACCAATAACGAAAACAAACGTGGTTGGTAGCATTTTGATCTGAAAAATAGGAATTCATTTTAGTTATCATCATTTTATGATCCAGGAAAAGAAAGTTTAAATTTTTTTTAAATATTGGTTTTTGAAATGTAAAGATTCACAAAGCGTAAGTTTTTTACAAAAAAAAATAGGATGTTTTTGAAAATAACTATGTTACTTTCTTTTGAAATAAAAAATAATTCTTTTAATTTATATAAGGTTTCTTGAAGTCAAAAACATTTTTTTTCTTCTCCAATCAGCATATAAGTCTTAACTTAACTAAACATAAAAGCAGGACGCATTCCCTTACCGAGAGTGTGTTGGTTGATCTTCTCACGAGAAACACTTCGAACTGTGCCTCAAAACATGTTATACGGACCATATATACTAAGTATTTGTGACGAGGTAAATTCCCCGGGCGCTAAGAAAAGGGGATTAATTTTACTTATGACTCATGTCCACAGAGATTATATGAAAGTGTTTATCATTATAGATGCTGCTGCTATTAAGTAACACTATTTAATCGTCATGAAATTTATAGTAAAGTTAATTGATAAGGTAACAAGATAAATGTGTTCTTAAAATAGCTTACTGTTGTGTTCCAGTGTTAATAGGCGTGTTTATGAGTGTTGTGTTTGTGTGATGCCATCGGTATTAGCTTTTGTTTTTGACCTTATAAAGTTTATCAGGGTTTCGGGTACTTACCCAGTCAAGTTCTGGAATTTGTAAAGATTGATCTGCTTTACAGTTTGCTAATAAAATATTTTATACTAACTATTAAATTGTCACGTTCCACGATGTAAAGATATTATGTATAAATACAGGGTTACTGGGTAAGTCGACCTAGATATTTTAAATGGTTGTATAATAGTTGGCATCATTTCTAATAGATTTTACTATTAAATACTATATCCCAAACCTAAACATTTTCAAGATAATGAACTTTTAATATTTGTATAAAATTGACGAAAAATTTCCTAATACAATTTTTTTAAGAACTTACATCCTTTGTTTTCTTATTTTTTTACCGTTGTTGTGTAGTTAATACATTGTTTTATGATTTACATTAGCAAACTTGTAGTTAACTTAACAAACTGGGCCGAAGTGGATGGTTTTTAATTATTTTGGCGAATATTTAAAAAAAAACTACAATAGTCTTTCATCTTTAGTCACTCCTGGTCTTTCATTAAGTTTATTTCTATAATTTTTGAAACTATTCCAGACTATTATACTTGTTAGATAGGTGATAATACGTACATATTTTTACTCATAATCACGTGGATCATAAAATACCATAAGACACGTAAAACATATGAAAATGTGATCGAGTCATTGGCATTTAGTATATTTCCTAGAAGATAAGTTAGGTAAATAGGTTTAAAAAATTGTAGCACAATATGTTGATACAAAGAACACGTTGCATGTGGTGTTTGCCTATAATTTGTTGTGCAGTTAGATTAAGACACAAAGACTTGAATGTTCCTACCTGTATTATATCTGTAACAACTGTTGGTGAAGCTTAAATAAATAAATAAATAAAAAATAAATTGATTTAAAAAATATATAATTACGGGGTTAGAGGCAATGTTCTTTACTTGATACAATAATTTTCAGAAGATAGAAATTCTCATACGAATATCTCTGGCGGTCGTTACGGATAGTTGGAGCCAAAAAAGCCCGACAATTGTCTATCTACAGAACTTCGATAGCGAGGCCTACACAACCCAAGTACCTAGGCGACTAAGTACTTGGGCTGTGGAGGTCAGATGGCAGTCGCTCTATGAAAAAAAAATGAAATTCAGGCGTGACATAGTAGACTAAAGAGCGACCCCAATAAGTTTCGCGCCAAAGGCTCGGAGGATGAAAATAAATGATATAATCTACGATAAAAAATAATGTTAGACCACGTTTTTATTGGCTTTGATTGACTTTCAAAACCCATAGCTTGATCCCTGTACCCAATAAAACTGAGATTTTTGTTTTATTGTTTATCATTTTAATTACACACATAAATATATTGCATTGCATTGCACCTAAAAGAGGACACCTTTGAATTTTCCATTCTATTACTTTTCTATCGGTGTCTAGACTAAGTTTTAGTTATGAATGAAAATGATATTTACACATCTCACACTAGGCAGTATGATTTTAATTTTAATGTTGATAAACATATTTAAATATATCTAAATAAATACATATTATAGAAAATTTATTCGTGTATTAATTATGCGTGTGGTGACGGATTACAAATACGTAGTATCACCACCCACCAATATAGTTTTAAAAAACTAAAAAAGCATGGGGTGCTTTTTACCATTGACAACAGGCACTCAACGCTTTTTTTCAAATTTATTTTCTATTTTTTAATTTGGTTTTCTATCTAGATCTAGAAAGCGTGTTTTTTAGTTTTTTTTAAATGATTTTTTTTTAAATTAGTTATTGTCGGTCCTCGGTATATCTACAAAGTTTGAACGAATTCTGACCGTTTAAAGTCAGTCAAAATCACTCCCAAAAGAGTCGGTTACAAACATACAAGTGAAGCCAAGATGTATAAAGCGTGTAAAAAGGATTCATAATTTGTTGTAATTATAATTTCAGAAATGTTTCTCTATAATCCTGCATAATAATATGTTAGTTATAGCAACATATTATAGGAACATAAGGGGGCGTCCATAAATTACGTGAGATGTTTAAGGGGGGGAAGGGGTCGAGTCAAATCTCATCTAATCTTACGTTGGAAAAAAAATTACAATTAAATTACTTAGAAAAAAAATTGCGTGATATTTGCTGAGACCCCCCCTGGGTCTCAGCAAATATCACGCAATTTTTTTTCTGATTGAAAACAAAAATTTTTGAAAAAATGAGATTGGGGATGGGGGATGGGGTTGAATAAAATCTCACGACATCTCACTAGGGGGGTGGGAGGGACAGAAATTAAAAAAAAAACACCTTACGTAATTTATGGACGCCCCCTATGGTACTTGAAAGAAACTGAAAACTTGTCTAACATTTAGTTTAAAGAAGACCTTTTTATCAGTAGTAACAGCTTCATGCATAGGTGCATTTCGTAACATAACATAATATAAGGCTGTTTAAATAATTGCTTCCAGGAAGCAGAGGGAACATGGGGATCCCACACGGGGGGGTCGTCTACCTGTTGTTGTAGATGGCCCGAGGTATTTCGGGGCACCAGGGACTTCCTTTCTAGGGTATACCTGGTTCCCCGGCTATTAGTACCCGAAACGGCGTGCGGTTTTAGTCGGTTCGAGTCCGACATGCCAACGATAGGTGGTATCAAAATTGTTGTTCTGAGTCTGGGTGTTCTTTATGTCCGTTTCATGTGTGTTTGTAAAGTCCCCTGCGACTCAGGATTTATTCCTAGTGCTGGAGTTGTCTTTTAAAAAAGAAAAAAAATACACTTCGAGAGATAATGACAATAGTAAGATGACACACAACGGCCGTCTGATCCCAAACTAAGCTGATGCGTTACTTTGGTAACCAGAATGCTGATCAACACATTTGTATATTTCTAAAAACATGAATAATGTACATAAACTACACCGATCTATTAATATAGAGAATATTTGTCATGTGTTTGTAACAACATATTTAATAGTTAAGTATACGGTCCTTAGATGGCGTTACGATTTTCAATATTTTTGGTATCGTACAGAATGTTTTATGTTGTTTATTAGAAAATTAATTAATCGCGACACCCAAAGCTTTTGTTGTTATTCATACCTACATTAACAACTATGTGAGCCGTGTACTTCTATTTATTTCAGATTTGTTTAATAATAAATAAAATTAAGAAAAACATGTAAGTAGCTCTGTGAGCAGGGGTTATACTCGTAGTTCACAGCGATGTCTCGCAATCGTCAAAGCGAGAAGGCGCGTGCCAGCGCGAGCCATCGCAAGACATCGCTTGACGGAGAGAGACCGTGTGGGTCCTCGATGGCTGGTGTGAGCTTTGTATATCTGTTTTATAAAGTAAATTAATACTCTATTCTTAGAGCAATAAATATCATTATTGTACAAGTCTTTCTAGTCTATTCCAATTCTTGCCTCGCACATCCTCGTGCATCTAGACCTTTTACACCAAAGATGGGCAGGGCGTGGATAGAAATTATGTCATACAATTTTCAATCCTCGCTTGGCCCATCCACGCCTCGCCTCGCTTGTGTAAAACTGCCCAAGTCCATCTTATGCAATGTACTTGCAGGAAGTATAAATAAATTAATAATTATATATGGATAACGTTCAGGGGACATAATATCTGATTGAAAGTGTAACATTACAAAAACAATAGTGCTTTATTTAATTATTTACTTTAATGCCAGTTTTACATACTTCTTAGTATTAACATATTTAAAAAGAAGCACTGAAAATCTTAACACATAAGCAGTCTTTTACTACAATAACCTTAAAATCATATTATTAAATATCTTTAATTCCTAAATCATAAGATCGCAGAGGAATTCATTAATAATTTAATCTGACATCGCAAGACACATTTTGACGTTTGAAATGCATTGTTTCTTGTGCCTGTCAAATATTTCAATGTCGCTCGAAATACAAAACTTTGGCAAACGATTTCGTTAATCTACAGATCTCAAAATCATATCTACAGAGTTCGAATGTTTAATATATCTAATATTGGTAGTATTTATGTAAAGATAAAGAAACTATTCGATTACTATTTAAGATTTAAAAGGTTTGTAAAACAAAGCAAAGCCGTGGCGGTCGTCAACTGTGAAGTCACAATTTGCATAAAAAATTTGATAAACTATAATAAAATTTGATAAACTATAATAGTATTCTTATATTAAGTTGAGATTCTTGAAGAACATAATATGTAATCTTTTGCGTTAAAACCAATTAATCGGCGCGAGGATTTTAATAGCGCGATGAACGTCATTTCTATGTAGTTTACACATAGTAGGTGCTTTAAAAAAAACAGCTGAATTTAATTTTATGTAGATTATGTGAATATCATCTCAGCACCTAAGGGGTCTATGTAATTGTTCATGACTTAATGTTAAAAAGATAATATTAGATTTTCAAGTATAACGAGATTTCAGTAATGAACTGTTAATTACATTAAAAGTCGTGCACAATTTTTGCTTCTAGACCGATATCGGGTTTGTCGTGTCCAAAGGTTTTCTGTAAGTTGCCCCCTGCTTCGAGCCTGGTGTTCTTGTCCAGTTTCCACTTTCCTTCACCGGTAACTGTCAACTAGAAGATAAATTGAAAACAAGTTAAAAAACAGTTATTTGTCTTTAGTAATATGTTGTATACAAATTTTGCATTTTTAAATATTATGACTGTCTACTTGAAAGTCTTGCAATCACTGTATTCAGTCAATTCGACAAACAAAATTGT